GGATCTTGGCGATTACTGGTCCTTTACTAACTGCCCTTGGCGCCATTGGATCAGCTTTCGTGGGATCTCCTAATGCCACATGGGCAGTGTTGTTAGGTGTCAYTGCCGGAGCTCTGGCAAGCGTGGTGAACACCTTGGAGCACGGTGGACAAGTTGGAATGGTTTTCGAGATGTACAGGAGCTCTGCCGGCTTCTTTAGACTTATGCAAGAGTCTGTTGAAGCCACTCTAAAAGAAAAGGTTGAGAAGAGAGAAAATGGAGAACTGTTTGAAATTAAGGTCGCTTTACAGCTTGGGAGGAGCCTATCGGAGCTTAGGGATCTTGCATCGTTGTCATCGTCTAGAGGAAACAAGAAGACAACAGAAGAATTCGCCAGCAAACTCTTCTGAATTCTCAAACAAAAATTCTTAACTTTGAGCTGATTTTTTGTCGAGGATTCAAGACTGTTGTATAGCATTAATTGTTCATAGATGCTTCCCCAAAACTAACTGCATCCTATTAATTTGTTCATTTTTTCTTTAATAATATGTCCAATGTTTTCTATTACACATTTTTATTTTTAAGTTTTATTATTATTTAATTATGACATTTAGGGTTGATACATTTGACCAAGGTTTTAAAAACTGACCCGAAAATGGAACTGTTCTAGCTACCAGTTTCTGAGTCAGTAGTTCAACCATCCAGGTCCAATAGTTCGGACAGTTTGCATATTAGGGCATATTTATATGATATTTCAGATTTGAGAAAGGAGAAAGAAAAAAGAGATGTCGGCTGAGAAATAAAGAAAGAAAGAAGAAGGAAGGAGAAAAGGAGGGAAGAAGAAGGAAGAGGAGGAGGAAGAGAGCGGCAACAACGATGACGGCGAGGCGGTGGCAACAGATGTAGATCTGAGATCGATTTCTCTAAAACACATGTAGTCTTCTTCTTCTTCTTCTTCTTCTCTTTGTGCTAGATCCCAGATGTGAGTTTGTGTCTCAAACTGGATCTCAGATCTGAGTTCTCCTCTCTGCAACTTTATAATGCGAACCACTGGCCGGGTCAAATGAGTTGACAGTTCGACTACCTAGGTCAGCGTTTTTCTGACGAAGTCAATGGTTTTTGACCCAAGAACGGGTTAGGGGTGAAATGGAACCAATTGCTTGGATGGTTTCTCGGCCGAACGGTCCAACCGTCTGGGTTAATGACGGTTCAAAAACGTTGCATTTGACACAAAAGGCTGAATTGTTGACTCATCACCAAAGAGGAAAACAATGCCATTTTTGTTTTGGTTTTAAATTTGTATATTTTTATATAATCAATAAATATTATTGTTTGTCACACTTATTTTTCTTTAATATAGTTAATTAATATATGAAAGAATGAAAGTTAAAATCCTCAACATAAAACATAATGAGAGGGAATTGATCGAACAGAAATGTAGTAGTTCAAATTACATTTTGTGCCCTCACAAGAAATTGATCATATTAAAAAATAGGGTGTTCTAGTCAAGAATAGGATTCAATGACTATTAATAGGAATTAATATCTTAAATATAATACATTATGATAAAGATTTGAACAAGGAGAAATGTTGTTCAACTTATATTTCTTTCTTACAACTAGAGAGTAGAGAGTATCAAATTCAAAAATTGGGGTACATTAGTCAAACAAAAGTTTCACATTATCTATCATACTTTTAATGGTACTAGTAATCGTGCACGTGCTTTGCATGTGACAATTCTAGATGATGATAATAATAGTAATAACATATTCAAAATTTTCTATAAATGTTATATATTTTTTTATTCTTATATATATATATATATATTTTGTTGTTTTGTACTATTAATCGGATGCAAATTGCAAAATCCAAGTGTGAATGCATAAACACCTCGTTCAAATATATGATAATAGGATCAAGTGACAAGCCTATTTGCTTGGCTAGAGTCTTATTTTTGTAATGTTTTATCTTTTTGGTGTATCATTTTTTTATTCATTTATCAAAAAAAAAATGTAAGATTTAAATAGAGATGATTGAATGAGGTGAAAAGTAGTAGTTCAATTTACAATTTAAAACTCATAATTAAATAGAGTCTAAATTCAAAAATGAATATTTTAGTCAAAAGAAAGTTTCACAATTTTATTCATATTTTTAATAGTAATGTAAATGTAGAATTATAGATGTGTTCAAATTTTTCTATAGTTTCTTTTGCAAAATTTATGTATCTTTTTCATTTTTATATCTTTATATTTTATTATTTTTTGTTATTTATTTATGGCATTAAAGGTTAACACATTTAACCCAAAAGTTGAATTACTTATTATTAACTTTTATATTTTATTTTTTCTAATTTTAAATTATGTATTTCATTTTCATTATTAATAGAAATAATTATTGTTTATGATACTTATTTTTTTAATTAGATTAATAAAAATACCATAAATGTGTCTAATTTTTTTTTTACATTTGTATAATTTTATATACTAATTTATATTTTAAAAAATTTATTACCTAACTATAACTTCATAGATTGATCAATTTGATTCAGATGATTGAATTGATTGGTCACCACTTGAATAAACAATGATTTTGTGTTTTGGTCAATTTTAAAATATATGGGGTTAGATCTATACTATATATAAAAGTGTAGATGTAATGTGAAACTTTTTTTGGACTAAAATTACCATCTACTTCTTTGTTTAAAAATGGGTATAAATGTCATTTTATTATAACTTTAATGTCAACGTTAATGGTTACTAAAATGCCCATAATTGTGTATTTAGTCCATCTCTAATGGCAAATTTAAAATTGTAACTTCAATTATTATTTCCCACATCATTTAATCCCCTTTCATTAAGTCTTACACTTAAATTATTAACTTCTACTTTCTCTTATTAAATTAGATTTGTGTCAATATTTTTAACAATATAAACCCATATATTTTAAAACTGACTCAAATACCAAATCATTTTTAATTCAAATAGTGACTAAGCAACTCAACCACTCAAATCAAATTGATCAACCTACCAACAAGGTTCACTATATCGATACATATGGTATTAAGAGTTTCTCAATATGCCCTTATACAGGGTGTATTGGGGTTTTGACCTATTCAGAGGGTGGACGAACCTTAAACCGGACCCTCTGAATCGGTTTCAAGGGGCAAGACGCAAGAGGACAGAGTATGCCCGTTTCAAGGTTTTACTGGTTATTTTCTGTTGAAAGTCAACATAGGATGAACGTAGGAGAGAAGGGGAGACCAATCAAATCCAAAGAGAGGAAAAAGTCCAATATCTGATTCATGATCCGTTCAAAAAGTTGACGAAGACTAAATCATCATTCATTCATTTCTCTCTCCATTCTGACTTCTATAAATGAGATGGAGCAAGTCTGCTGCTCCATCGTCTCACACATCTTCAGGCCAATTAATCCAAAAGCCTCCCAGCAATACCCACCATCAAACAACAGAAGCAAGAGTATTAAACATGGAAGCCCTTGGAACATCTAGTTTCGTGTGTTCATCGTTTCGGTCATCGTCACGTCCCCAAAGAAGAATACAAGTTAGTCTCCAGGCCACAAAAACCCGGTCCAGTTTCCTCTTTCTTCCCAAACTTCCGGCCAGGGTCTTGGTGGAGGAATTGAATATGAAAACTGGTTATACAGCCAGAACTAGTACTCAGATAGAAGGAATCTCCAGCTCCAATTCCGTTGCAATTTCCGAGCTATATGCTATAAAGGAGGCTGATGTAGGCGCTTTAGGCAAGCCTTTGGCGCCTTGACAAGTGGCCAAGCTCAGAGCCGGTTAGCCTCAGCTTTACCCATAGGCCGAACCATGTAATAACAAGAGCTTGGCTTCGGCCGATCATGTACACCCCATTTTGTAATAAAGCGAGTCTCTCTTACCTCGCCTCAAATTCTCAGCGTATACATTCTCGTCTCGATCGAGCACCCTCCCGCAGCACACAACCTTCACCAAGGTTACACACTCAGATTGGACCTCAGTCCAAGGCACACGACCTTTGGAGGTCATACGCCTACTCGCCAAGTCCCAGTCATTGGCCGGCTGGCCATGGCATACGACCTTCGCCAAGGTTACACGCCTAAATCAGATGTCAGCCCAAGGTTTATGACCCTTTGGCGGTCATGCCTCGACCTCAACGGTCCTCGGACTTCACAGGTTCTCTGCCTTAACAGCCCTTAGGCTTCACAGGTCCTCGGCCTCAACAGCCCTCGGACTTCACAGGTCCTCGGCCTCAACAGCCCTTAGGCTTCACAGGTCCTCGACCTCAACATTGTTTGGACTTTACAGGTCTTCGGCCTCAATAGCCCTCGGACCCCACTGGTCATCGACCTCGAAGGTCGCACCTTGGTGGCCACGCCTCAGCGGTCACTCCCTAATGGTCGCACCTCAGCAGTCACAACCCCAAAGGTCGCACCTCGGCGGTCACACCCCGACGGTCGCACCTTGACGGTCGCACCTTGGAGATTACACCCCAATGGTCACACCTCGGCGGTCACACCCCGACGGTTACACCTCAACGGTCAAACCTCGGCCCCTCAGCGGCCACGCCTCGACGGCCACACCCCGACGATCACACCTCGGCGGTTACACCCCAATGGTCACACCTCGATGGTCACACCTCGGTGGTCACACCTCGGTGGTCACACCCCGTTGGTCGCACCTTGACGGTCACACCTCGGCCCCTCAGCGGCCCTTCAACTCTGAGCACCACCACCGTCTCACGTACGGCTGTGACCCGATGCCCACCTCGGGACGATCCAAACCTTCAATGCCGAGACCCATCTCGTGCGTGGCCATGACACACCCACTCGTCGTCTACATCTCACACAGTGGTGTCCGATGTCGGGTCCGCTCACGGGCTCATTAGTTCATCTGAAGCACACGATTGGGGGGCACACACATCTTGTACCCGTGGATAACATAGAACCAAGCTCTTTGGAGCAGAGGCCAATGCCTCCATGCTCTTTGGCCCTCCACAACCTCTTGAAGGAGCAGAATCGACACAATAGCTAACAGAAGCCCACCGAAGCCGTGGACGACGTCTACGCAAGCCCGACCGGCTCTAATGAGGCCTCAGCCACTGCAAACGACTCCACGTTCTCAAGTCGGGCTATCCTTAGCGACTGCAAAAACAGGACCAGCACTTCCTCGCCCAAAGACCGTTCTCTCTAGCTCGGCTTCAGCCGAGGTCCTCACCATGGAAGGCCACTCAGCGCCTCCCAGCAACTAAGACATCCACCACGGCCTCGAGAGTGGGGGGAAAATGATGTAGGCGCATTAGGCAGGCCTTTGGCGCATTGACACGTGGTCGAGCTCGGAGCCGGTCAACGCGTCATATGGGGCAGAGGTCAGTGTCCAGCCGGTCAACACGTCATATGAATTGGTTTCAATCCATACCTGATTTATTGACACCTTAGACCAAATATTGGCTTAATCCAACCCAATCTAATATAAATTTATTATGGACGATATAGATCCCTTCCAATCTAATAAATATTTTGGACTGGATTGGTCTAATTCAATATGTCTTGTTGGTCCATCCAATCTATCTAAATTGATTTGGACTGAATGGGTCCAATCCAAAACAGGTTCATTGACACCCTTACTTCATTAAGACCCAAATTCATTACATAGTTAAAAATATATCATGGTCTACTGATCTTGGAATTTTTGTAATACTTTATGTGTAAGGAAAAATTTCATACATAGCATATAAGATAATTTTGATTAAAAACTTGTTTTATTGATTAATTTACTATTTACTGTCATTTTTATTAAAATTATATTGTCAGAAATGAAGTAAATACTGATGTAAAGAATACTCGATCCAATTATCCCAATTAATAATTTTTTTTTGTTTTTTAATTCATCTTTCTTTCATTCTTTATTCAAAAAAAAAATCTTCCTTCATTCAATTGATGAATTGATAATCCGGAGCTAGGACTGGCCTCCCTATCCCTAATCAGATCCGACCCATGACAAGTCTCACTATAACTAGAAAATCCCCATCAAAGCATTTCTTAAATGGTCCGTCAGAACTATAGGGTTTTTTTTATCATAATAGTGAACCACGTTTTAGGGGGGAGAAAAAGTTGGCTGCGAACAGGCAAAGCTGTTTTGAAGCTTTTTGCACATGACCAAGGTTCAAAGTATCGATCATACGTATCATTCCGGGAGCTCCCCGATATGTCCCTACAGAGGGTGTATCGGGGTTCTAACTGGTTCAGGGGTGGAGGAGCCTTAAACCAGCCTCCCTGAACCTCCACCCCCTGAACCGGTTTTGAAAAAATTAAAAAAGAGTAAAAAAAGCAATAACGATATCGCTCGATATGCCCCTACCGACGTATCGGGTGTATCGATATTTTGAACCTTGCACACAACACGTTACTCACTTAGTTGTTTATTGTCTTTTTCAATTAAAAATAGGGTAAAATACAAAAACCTCCCCTGAAGTTTTTGACAATCATAAAAACCTCCCCTATAGTTACATTTTAGCAAAACCCTCCCCTCTATTTTTGGCAAAATCAACAAATATCTCCCTTCCATCAATGACGAAGACGAAAAACGTTAAAGAGATGACCATTTTTTTAAAATACCTATTTTACCCTTTCTCGAACTCTATTCATCTTCCTCACACGCACAACGGCAGAATGGCGGTGCACTCCCCCCTCCAACCTTCCCACTTTTTTGATTTCCCTCTGATTCTCTCTCCCCAACAACCACAGAATGGTTGTGCACTGTTCATCTTTGTGTCTCCTATTGTTTATTAATGTTTCTATCTCTGTTGATGAAACTATCTTTACCTTTCATCTCCCCAGATTACGTTGACTTGCAAGATTGGAACAACCAAAGTAGCACCAAGAATCCAAGCAATCACAATGACATCAAGTATCTGATTCCTCTACTGATTCATCCCAGTAGATACTTTCTCTGGCCCTTCACAATCACTTCGCTCGACCTCCGATACCGCTGAAATCTAAGCTGGTCGATAACCCAAACCATCTGGCTACTTCCAAAACTCCGTTTCCTCACCGTCCTCCTCTTCTTGGCGAACGCCCCCATCATTTGATTCTAGACCCATATGCTTAACTGAATCCTTCCTCGAGATTAGCGTCTATGGCTGACCAACAAAGAATGGGTTAGGCAAGAAAGGCAATAGTGGGTCGAGATTGAAGCCCAACCTCAACATTCTGACGAAAGCAAAGAGAATGTTGAGGTTAGGTGTTCCAATCTCGGTGCTGCTCTGGTCATTCCAATCTTGCAAAGATGAACAATGATTTTTTGCAGAAATAAGTAGTGCAAAGAATTGAAAGATGAAACTGTAAAATAGATATATTTACAAAAATCCCCTTTTACCAATGATTTTTTAAGGAACGTCTTTGTGGCTGTTCTGTTCTATTTTCTTGATTTAAATCAAACAAAGTGAAGAAGAAGAAAGGGAGAAAAGGAGGAGACGCAGAGATGAGCAGTGCACTGCCATTCTACCGTTGTTGGGGAGAGAGAGAGAATCAGAGGAAAATTGAAGAAGAGGGAAGGTTGGAGGGGGGAGTGCACCGCCATTCTGCCGTTGTGCGTGTGAGGAAGAAGATGAACAGTGTTCAAGAAAGGGGAAAATAGATATTTTGAAAAAAATGGTCATCTCATTAACATTTTTCATCTTCGTCATTGATGGAAGTGAGGTATTTGTTGATTTTGTCAAAAATAAAGGGGAGGTTTTTGCTAAAATGAAACTATAGGGGAGGTTTTATGATTGTCAGAAATTTCAGGGGAGATTTTTGTATTTTACCCTTAAAATATAGATTACAATTACTATTTTACCCCACCCCTTGCTAACGTGTCATGCACAAATCTTCACCCCAGTTGTTTTAGGGCCCATTTGGCGTGTCTTTCCGAGCGGTCTTTTGGCTATTTATAGGCTAGGAAGATTGATTTTCGATCTATTCCCATTTGACTCGTGGAAGATCTAGCTGCCAAAACACGATGCACTGAAAAGACGCAAGAAGCCCATTTCGGGTAGATTTCGGGAAGCTTCAAATGAAATTTCCTGTGTCTTTTGCATTTTAATCTCGCGCGGAAAGACGTAGACAAGCACACAGAAAGACGCACATCTGCCAAACTGTCTTCAGGCTACCCAAATCTTATGTCAAAAAAGCTAAGTGCGTCTTTTAACTATCAGAGCTACAAGAGCATCTTCTAAAAAAGACACGCCAACCGGCCCTTAATTTTTCATATTTTTTTTCAAAAAGCCCAACCCAACCAAGATGGGGGACGCTAAACGGGGGCAAGAGGACAGAGTATGCCCGTTTCAAGATTTTACTGGTTATTTTCTGTTGAAAGTCAACAAAAGATGAACGCAGAAGAGAAAGGGAGACCAATCACCAATCAAAGCGAAAGAGAGAGAGAAGAGAAGAAAAAGTCCAATATTTGATCCGTTCAAAATGTTGACAAAGACTGATTTACCATTTATTCATTTCTCTCTCCACTCTCTCTTCTATAAATGAGATGGAGCAACTCTCATCTCAGCCATCTTCAACTTCGAGCCAATTAATCCAAAAGCCTCCCAATACCCACCATCAAACAACAGCAATAAAAGGCGAAGACAAGTAGCAGATTATTAAACATGGAAGCCCTTGGATCTTCTAGTCTCGTGCGTTCGTCGTTCCGGTCATCGCCACGTCGCCAAAGAAGAATACAAGCTACTCTCCAGGCCCCAAAAACTCCGTCCAACTTCCTCTCTCTTCCCAAGCATCCAGCCGGGGACTTAGTGGAGGAACTGAATATGAGAACTGGTTATACGGCCAGAACTAGTACTCAGATAGAAACATGGCCTTTCATACCAATTGTTCATACTACTACTACTAGTACTACAGCCACGAGAGACGATGAGGGAATCTCCAGCTCCAATTCCGCTTTGATTTCCGAGCTATACGCTATAATGGAGGCTGTTGCTGACAGAGCCGAGATGCACGCAAACATTGAAGAGCAGAGGAATAACTGGAACCACCTCCTTCTAACATCCATCAACACAATGACCATGGCTGCTGCCACCATGACCRGACTTGCAKCAACTTCTGGAATGGGAGCCCCTCTTGTGGGACTCAAGCTTTCATCCACTCTGTTATATTTGGGCGCTACTGGRTTGTTGTTGGTGATGAACAAGATCCAACCATCTCAGCTCGCCGAAGAACAACGCAACGCAGCAAGGYTRTTCAAGCAGCTTCACGGGCAGATCCGAACAACCCTTGCTCTTGGCACTCCTACTCCAATGGATGTAARGGACGCGATGGAGAAGGTGTTAKCGCTTGACAAGGCCTAYCCACTTCCYTTGCTTGGAGCGATGCTTGACAAGTTCCCTGAATCTGTAGAACCCGCTGTATGGTGGCCGCAACAACGACAACGTGGCCCTGGTGGCAATGTAGAGAGAAATGGCTGGACTAAGAAGCTTGAAGAGGAAATGAAGCAGATCGTTGGGGTTTTGAAGAGAATGGATAGTGCAGAGTACCTGAGGCTAGCCAACGTAGCTCTGAAAATGAACWGGATCTTGGCGATTACTGGTCCTTTACTAACTGCCCTTGGCGCCATTGGATCAGCTTTCGTGGGATCTCCTAATGCCACATGGGCAGTGTTGTTAGGTGTCAYTGCCGGAGCTCTGGCAAGCGTGGTGAACACCTTGGAGCACGGTGGACAAGTTGGAATGGTTTTCGAGATGTACAGGAGCTCTGCCGGCTTCTTTAGACTTATGGAAGAGTCTGTTGAAGCCACTCTAAGAGAAAGGGTTGAGAAGAGAGAAAATGGAGAACTGTTTGAAATTAAGGTTGCTTTACAGCTTGGGAGGAGCCTATCTGAGCTTAGGGGTCTTGCATCATTGTCATCATCTAGAGGAAACAAGGAGACCACAGAAGAATTTGCAAGCAAACTCTTCTGAATTCTAAAACAAAAATTCTTAACTTTGAGCTGATTTTTGTCCAGGATTCAAGACTGTTGTATAGCATTAATTGTTCATAGAGAACACCTTGGAGCTCTGGCGATTACAGGAGCTTTGCCGGCTTCTTTAGACTTATGGAAGAGTCTGTTGAAGCCACTCTAAAAGAAAAGGTTGAGAACAGAGAAAATGGAGAACTTTTTGAAATTAAGGTCGCTTTACAGCTTGGGAGGAGCCTATCGGAGCTTAGGGATCTTGAAACTAGCATTTATCAGGTATGGGAGGAGCCTATCGGTGGACAAGTTGAAAATGGATAACTTCTGTACAGCATTAATTGTTCATATATAGATGCTTCCACAAAACTAACTGAATTCTTTTTTTTTTTTTTTTCGAAGCCTGATTAGGCAACAAAACTAACTGCATTCTATTCATTCGTCTGGACACAGTGATCACTGATCACTGAAATCCATAGCCTTTTCTTTTTTTTTTTTTTTCAAAGCCTCGATTTGTTGTTTTGTACTCCTTCCAAACTGAGCTTTATCGAACATTGCAGATTAGCAGTGCACTTTGGTGTAACGACACTTAGCACTCCTTAGTTTCAATTTGGCTACCTTGGATCAATTTGAGAAGGGTAATTTGCAAATATTAATATGTATAACGCAAATATAAGCTTTGGCAATATTACATACAAGGTTTTGCACCCTAAAGCTGTGGAGAGTTCACCTGAATTACTTTTTCTCTACCTAATAACGTGCGTGTCATTTGGGATAGCCCCTCCCCCAGCCGGGCCGGCCCATAAGCCCCCAACCCTGGTGTGTGGTCACGTTAGGATCTGATCCCAAGCATCCACTACAATCAGACAGAAAAGAATTGTCAGACTAGATTTGGTCCAATCCGATTTAATTCAATATAAGTCTATTATAAATTGATCAGGTCCAATTCAATCTGATAAATAATTTGGACCATTTAGACTGGCCCAATTCATTGTCTTAACTATCCAATCTGTTTAAATTGGTTTATTAATTTAGACAGTTATATTCTTATCTTTTATTAATGAACTGAATATTGGTTCAATTTCACCAATGAACTAAATATTGATTCAGCTTCACCCAATATATTCAATATAAATTCATTACAGATGAAACAAATTCAATCCAATCCAATAAATACTTTGGACCATTAACTTTTACTAATCCAATTCAATGTCTTATTGATCTGTCCAATCTCCCCAAATATATATTGGTCCAACACAAACCAGTACATTGACACCCTAGCAAGAAACCTTATCAACTGACAGTCTTAGTAGGGGTCCAAATTGGGTACCCAATTTTAGGAATTTAAAATCTATGGAGCTTAGGCTTCCGGTAGGATGGACCCATTTAAATTTTAAAAAATTTCAATCAGAGCCAAACCTAAGTTGCGCCCTTATCAATAATGGGGATTCATTCGTACTCCTAATGAGTCTACTAGATTAAGCAGGCAGTAGGCACATTTGCTTAGCACACTAAGTGAGAACTGTAAATTTTCTAGCACTTGTCCATAAGTAGTTGAAATGATTTATAACAAATTTATATTTTATAAGACAGTTGTGAGAATATTTAGAAACAAAAAACAAACCTGGTGTTTGATATGAAACAAAAAACAGACCTGAAGCCATTATTCATTGAGATGGCCATGGATCAGATAAAGATCAAGATCGATATTCGAATTATAATTCTTCGAGGGTGTAATTTAGAGCAGCTCTTCCCATGTCTGGCGATTAGTCAGAGCACCATAGCTTTGATGTGATGAAGAGATGCTTTCTGTCCACGGTTGCTTGTATGGCTTTATTGAATACAATACTTGGATGGGATAAAATTGTCTCTTTTAATAATGGCTTTTTATGATTAAAATAGTTATTTTTTATTTACTTGCGAAATAAAAGAACATAGGTAAATGCACTTACTTGGATAAGTATTTCCAAGAAAACACTTACCCAGGTAAGTGCGTTTATCTAGGTAACCATTTATATAAAGAACGTATGATCCGATAGGATTTGAATCAGGGCATATTCGAATCCAATCCGATAACACATATTCAAGATCTGATCTGATCTGATCTTTGTGTGTGTGTGTGTGTCTTTTTATAAAAAAAAAAATTATAAAAATGCAATATAAACATGTTTGTAAATAAATATGTTAATAAATATATTAATATATACATGTATTTTTATAAATAGATAGATAGATAGATGACTTTTTATAAATAAATATGTTTATGTAGAAAGACAGATAGATAGATCGGATCGAATTGGATCCTTTCCAACATCTCAACTTGTTATAAATTTACTCATCCAATTATGTTCATTAATATATAGTGTTATTTGCTCAAATATTGGTTGATTGTTTTTAGCTATATATTTTGGTATAGTTATAAAAATAATATAAAAGCATTTTTCTTTTCCCTTTTAAGCAGTATTTAATTTTAAAGAAAATGAAAGATAGGGTTCGGAAACCTATAACCTTTTCCTTCCTTTCTCAATCTTTTCTTTTAAACCAATTGAACGATTGAATTGGGTTGGTCTATGGAATTGTTTGATCCATGACCCAGTCATGAAAACTATTTTATGTTCGATCCAAGTCTGACAACATTGTTATCTTCGATAAATATTACCTGTTTGTATCAACAGCCCGATTCTTCTTCTCAACTATCCAGCTCACACCAATATAGAAAATGAAAATAAAGTAAAAAAGTAGTTTATGCAAAAGTAAAGCTAGCAAGCAAACATTACAAAGCTGTATCATGGAAAAGATAAGCCGAGCATGCTAAATCCACCACTCAAGGTTTGACTAATTCAAGTATATCGCACCCCACGCACTCGGATTCTGTAATCCGGTCCATGTCTCACCGCTGCATTTGGTTAATCTGAACCTGGTCTAAGTGGGGCAGCTGGTTAGAGTCAGGCACTTCCAAGTACCAACCCGTCGGATTTGACTCCTGCATTCACATCAGTAACCGTGTAAAATCACTAGGATGTATTTTAAAATAGACTATTTTTTTTTTCAGAACCGTATGGCTTTTATCAGGGCAAATAGAAGATATTTTCAATGTAAGTCTGTAAAAGCTGCCCGGATGGGCTTTGCCCCGACTGAAGCCGAACTCCATTTCGGGTCCATTTCGAGCGTATTTTGTTCGTGGGCTGTTATCAAAAAGTTGCAGCTGCCACATTTGTTCTAGTTTGGTGTGGGCGTTTGTTAAGGGTAGAACCATTGTTTGATTTGTGTGCTCAGAGTCGTTGGAGGTAGCGACAATTTCTTGCTTCTTCCAATGGCATGGCGTTTCCCAAAACCTCTTGATGATATGGCGTCAACGTGGATGCCGACATGGTGGTTCGAGTAAGATGATCCCATGCATTGCAGATCATGAAGAAGAAATGTTTTTCACCCTAATGCAAAGAGAACCCATTCTTTTCGTCTGTAGAGAACTGCCACCATTATTTACGACCATCTGAAGAGAACCGTCGCCATCATTTGTCGCCGGTAAGAGCCACCGTCAACCTGAAACCTTGTATTGTTTCGTTGTCAGTCTCCACATTTTCTTCTTATTTTTCCAGATCTATACCTTGACGCAAGTTCTCCCATGCACCGACTTTCTGGGCGTTTCTTCCCGTCATCCACGGCCCTCAATGTTTGTTGGAAGGTACATTCACCCGTCGGAGGTTACCTACCGGTTGTGATTATTTACCACAAAAATTCATTTTCGGCGAGAACTATTCGATTCATTTACTCTTTTTTTCCAAATCTCTGTTTAGACCATTGGATCGATCCGACGGCACCCAAATATCAAGAAAAGGTGCCACACCGAATCACCTAGATGCCCATTTCTTGAAATGCCCTTCCAAACAGCAAAAGCACATGAAGCGTTTATCTTTGCTGAGTTGGCAGGTGCCTTTAACTGTTGTTTCTTGAAATGCCCACTTTAAGTCCAACCAAACAACGAAAATAAAAAACGTTTAAATAAACGCACCCCCTCCCCCTCAAAAAAAAAAAAAAAACCCATCGGAACCAAACGTATATTTAATCTTTTACGTTCATCCTAATTGCTCCCACAGGCTGTTTGAGATTATTAATTAATGCAATCGGTTGATCAGTATTTCAAGTGGACTTTGTCCCTAGTAATAGAGCAAATGGAACAAACAATGGGAATGCGACACTATTTTTAACACAAATAAGGATAAAATAAAAATGTTAAATTTCCGCATTTTTTTTTTATTTTTTGGCGATACGCCATAATCCTCATAGAGGCTGTTTAAATAGCACAGCATCGAGGGGTGTCAATTGGACTAGATTTGATCAAATTCGATTCAGTCCAATGTGAGTCCAATATAAATAGATCAGATTCAGTTCAATCAAATGAATATTTTGGACTATTTTGGATTGGTCCAATTTAATGTCTAGACCATTCAATCCAATCTGATCAAATTTGTTTTAATTTAGATTAATTCTAATCCAAGCTATGTCCATTAACAATTATATTCTTATCTTCTATCAATGGACCAGATATTGTCTCAATCCAACCAAATCCAATATGAATTCATTATGGACGGATCAGACTCAATTCAATCCAATAAATACTTTGGACCATTAAATCTAGACTGGTCCAATTTAATATGTCTTGTTGATCCATTCAACTTGTCCAAATAGATTTTGGTTTGGATAGGATTCAATCCAAAACCGGTCCATTGACACTCCTAACAGCATCACTCTAATAACTCCCTCCCCTAAAATGGTTGTAAGGATCAAATCTACTTCTAACACACCATCTGAACGGCTTGAATTTGAGCAAATAAGAGGGAATATCATGTGATAATAGACAATAACATTTTATCTATCTTTCCATTGTTAAATTCAGTTTCATCTAGAAATCCTTTGAGATGTCTCAATTTAGCTCGGACAGGCCTTTTATAGTGTTACCCACAAACTCTTTCCACATCCCTACCAGTCTACACACTAGGCATGCATTGA